TTTGTGATTCACTCTGCATATCTGCTGATTGGAATAATTACACAGATTTCACTGCTGTAATGTGAAAAGTATGAGAGGAATTTTCCATCTAAAAGGTTTAGCAATACCACATACTTTCAGTAAGATTTGTCCTGTCAGGCCATAATTGTTTCTAAATGCCCCACCCTCTAGTACTTTTAGAACAAAGATAATGTAATTTCAAAATACAGTATACTGTGCTTCACAAATATGTATGGTCCTGTAGTCTCTGCCAAAATTTACAAAATAAAAAAGATAAGAAGTTATGCCAAATGCAGAAAAGGAACTTTGTTTTAATCATGTACTTAGTTTACAATTAGCAAACTCAGTAATTCCATTTAAGGTTGCAAACTGAAGATGCAGAACTCATAAAGAGCACAATAGTAAAAAAAGCTGGTTGAGTAATATCATCTTTTCTAGCTTTTTCATTTCTTAGGGAAGAGTTTTTAAATGACAAGGGATACAGGGTCAGTATCAAAATGGTTGCTTTACAATTGGTAATTTTCTAGAATTTTTTCTATGAAAATCATGGTAGGATTATATGAAATACTAAGTAAATAAACTGTAGACTGTTCCCTCTCTTCCAATGCATGCTGTGTTGCTCTAAACAAGTTGTGCATGAGTATACGAGAACTCACTTGATAAGTGATCAGCAAAGTGAAATTTAGAACTGGAATTCCCTTTAAATGTCTATAAATAAAGCATCAGCCTTAAGATGAAAGTAAATAATGGAAATGAAGTCTTGATGATGCACTCTCTGTGGACTGCACCGACCCAGACTTTGCACTAGTGAATCCCTGCTGAAATAACTCTAAGTCCAGATATACATAATAATAAATTATGTTCTTGTACTGCCCTACGTGGCTATGTTTACTATAATACAAGTCAAATTTGTAAGTGTTTTTATTCTCATAATGTATCTGTGACATGGCATCAGTGCTGATCCGTTGATGGGAAATCACAGACAGAAGACAAGGAACTTGCTCAAAGCTCATTAGGCAGAAGGAAGGTAAACTTCCATCTGCAGGAGGCACCCCAGCTGCTTGGTCATCCCTCTGCCAAAACAGATCTAGGCAAAGTTGGCAGAAATGTAATTTTGCTCGGTTAAGTGTTAAAACCTTGATTCAGAAAAGCAGTAGGGGTGCAATATCTTGCTCACGCCTGTGTTTTAAAGAGTAATGTAGATTCTCTTGGACTTGGACAATCAAGACAACTTCTCTATCCTCCATTTACCTATTGGATCATGTGCCTTGCAAAGCTTTTGATGCTTTATGAAAAACATTATTCAAACATTATTACTAAATATTATTAGTAATATTATTAGCTAAATATTATTATTGTTGCTCTCATTCAAGTTTTTGAGTCAGTAGAACAGGTCTAAATATCTTACAAACAACCACTGTGTTGAAATTTTTTGCATGTTTTTGTTATGTAGGCTGATTAAATCCCTGTAAGTGTAATGGTTTTGTATACTCTTTTTTACAGAAAATGGAAAAATGTTCATCTGTTTGTGGGAAAGTACATTTTATAATTTCAAAACCAGTTCTTTTCCTTTTGAGAGTAATTATAAAATCATAAAACATATAATAAACTTTCCACTATACAAAAGCTGTTTTATACAAAAGCTGGAACTACTGCTTCATTCACCTATTAAACACATACTGCTTGTACTGCTAGTCTCAGTGAAAACTCTCTTTTCTAACACTGCTGTACTAACAACAAAATCAATCAGAAGTGAGTAAATGCACTGCCCACCCAGGACTCAATGCATCAAACTCCAGACAGTGTTGGTTGTTGTCTCTGCAACATCCTTAAATGTAGGAGTGAAAAGCTGCCAGTAGCCATTCCTCCTTTTCTTTTTTCTCTTTTTGGTTCCCTCTGCATTTTACAAAGAAGCAACAGCTCCAAGAACAACTTTCTGGCAGGGTGCTGTACATGCTGACTTGGAAACTCATCTCTGACTATAATCCAAACCAGCAGGCTGTGAACAAAACCATAGCCTCAGAAGTGCAGCAGACATTTCTCCCCACGTCCTCAGTCTATTGAGACACTGTGCCATCAAAGATTTTATTGTCTCAGCAGGTGGCAACCTTGTAGTTACCTACAATTCCAATTACAAGTCAAATGAGGCTCTGTTACTTAAAGGAACAAGTTTTTTGTTAAATGGTATGAAAAGTGAACACTTACAAAGCTGTATCAAGTCATTTAGACAGCGGAGGAGCTGGTGTGGCAGACCACAAAGCACATCTGCAGTCAAGGGTACATTTTAGAAAAAATTCACCTCATAGCTATAGAACAGAAGAGTTATGCACATATTGAAAAATGTTGAAGACGTATTTGATTCAACCCCGCTGTAATGAAAATTATGAATCCTTAAGTCCATTGCTGCCTTCCAGTGAATCAGTTTCAAATACTTGCACAACCAGATCACTTCAACCTCCTTACATGCCTGCTGTACCACCTCCTTACAGATTCTACATTACTGCCAAGTAATTTTCCTTTCCAAAAAATTACGTCAATATCTTACATTCCGTGTTGATAGAGCTTCATACATATCTCTACGCTTAAAAGTCAGGAAGACAGAAATCATCACTCACCCTATCCCTAAGAGTATAATATGCAATATATCATGGTATTAAGATGTTTATGCTGTTTTTAAAAGCATCAACCCACCTGGAAGTACAAGGCCTCTAATCTGCTGCGGTTTTGGTGCAACAGTCATGTCTGACTAAATCTAGAAATCTTTAACTACTGATTGGAAACTGTGAGTTTTTCTGGAGAACAGCAGATACCAGAAAAATGATGGTGCTCTATAGAGCCTGAACACTCTCAATATAGAAGCCTCTGGATTACAGACTCTCCCGTTTATTCATAATGGGTAATTTCAGTCTGGCACTGACATTCATAATTGCAAGGCTTCAAAGCTTCCCTACATTTCAGTAATTTTTAGAAGTGCATTTAGTTCTCAGTTGCAGGGATGCATCCTGGACCATCATAATGTTATCAGAACTACAGCTTTTGTTTCAAACAGTTTAATAAATGCATTCTCCCATGGTTCCTAATATTTAATCATGGAAATATTATTTTACAGCTGGAATATCACCAGAAAGCAGATACTGCATACATTCAACATATCAAACATATTAATCTTCCCTTGTGGGAATAGTTGATAAGAAATGCTAACAAGCAGGTGCGTTTGTCATATGTGTGAGGTAAGATTGACCTTCACAAATGTGATTGATCAAAAAAATGCAGTTAGACCTTACACTGGGGATACATCCCATTTGTGCACATCCAGCACTGTTTTCAACTCACTAATGTTTTAACCACATGCAGCATTTACCTTACACCTCTGCTAGCTAAAGCCACATAATTACTATTAGTTCCTTGTGCCCTTTCTTTTTCTTTATCAACATAGTGAATCACATATGTCCAACATGATAAACACTTCCAGGTCTGCTGTACTTACCTCAGGTGTGGCAGCAGGGATGGCTCAGTCCAAGAAAAACATTCATATTGAATCTCAAATAAAAAGCAAACCCTAACTACAAACCTTGAAAAGATCTAGTTCTGGCCTCAGCCCAAAGCTCTCAAATCCTTCCTGTCCTTCCTTTCTACTGCTGCTCAATGAGGAATGGTGGTTCACTTTGGCTCATTCTTTCAAAATCAGCTTCATCAGTTGTTTATTCACTCCTCTGCATCCTGTGTGGATATCACTAATTCAAACCAATCCTGCCTCAAAAAGTTTAATTTTTTTAGTTTAACATATGGGTGCAGTAACACTTTCATATAAATATATTCTGTATATATGTAAGTTAGGTTGGCTTAATGCCTCTTGTAGTATTGTAGCATTTTTCTTCAAATCTTGGCAGAACTAGGCTAGGCTAGCTCAGCTCTCGGCAGGGAACATCACTTAGGCACTATTTGCATGTGCAAAGAAGTCATATACAACCAGTTGGTATATACCAGCCACATTTCTATGACCTTTCAAGACAACTTCACTGAACCAAATAATTAATTTTTTGCTATCCATTCATATGTTTGATGCAAATGTGTAGCATAGTTTCACAAATTATTGTATAATAAAACTATTTATAACTATTGCTGATTTTTTTTTTGTAAAAGTGAAATGCTTTGAAATACTATCAAAATGCCACTATGCCTTTTAGAGTAAAAAAAATAAATTTTTCCTGGATTTCATTTCTCATGATTTTTTTGTTTGAAGACCTAGTATATAAAAGCAAAAAATTCCTTTTGCATATATAGACTACAGGAACAATAGGAGAGGTCTTCTGGTTGCAGTTCTAGTTAAATAGCTATTGCATTAATCCTATTTAAGGGTGAAAAGGGATGAGTAACACAAAATTAAGCTATTTTTCTTTGCACTTCCAGATGGAAAATGTGATCCATCCACTTAATTTATGGTAAACTTTACAGAAGACCATATTTACTATGTAGCAAAGTGAGGCCATTTGTTTATTCATTTGCAGAATACTTATATATACTGCTAGGATCCAAAATCTGATAATGTTACTCATTTTGGGAAGGATTGTAGAATCCAGGAGAATTCATGAACTTCAGAAGAAGCCAGGGTGCAAAATTTCTATTTCTTCCTTTATATGCTGTACTCTCTTCATGTCCTGCCCTTTGTCACTTCATTTTTATTCACCCCCAAAGCCCTGTGGCTCCATTCTCACCAGCCTCTGTTTCCTTCCTTTTCCCTCAGGGTTCTGGTGTCTGCTGAATGTGCCCAGAGAGCTCACAGGTCACTGTACCTCACTTCCAGTGCTGAAGGTGGATTGGCACACTTTTACAAATGCATCTATGGCAGTTCAATACTAAAGTTCATTTAATATTGATGACCAAAGGCACTCCAGAAGCAGCGAGCAGCAACTAAAGGTGAGCACACGCTTGAGATCACAAAGAATGCTCTAATGCACAAAAGCAAGGCAAAAAGCCACAAAACCAAGAGGATTGCCATGTCCAAACCTACTGGTAGTAACAATGGAGTCATATATTTTGATTTACATTTTTCCTTTCTGGTATATATGGCTCATTCCAATACCTTGGGCTGTATTTTCTTAAAGCATACGATGCCATTCTGTTTAAATTTCTCACTCAGGAGACTCAACTCAGCGAAGTATGATATGGAAAGAAAAAAAAAAAAAAAAAAAAGAGGCTTGAAAAATTATGAAAGAGGAAACATGAATGAAAAACGTGGGAAATGCCAGGCTTGTAACACTATGTACCACAACCCAAATGATGGCATCACTCAGAGATGGCAGCCATCCCAGAGCTGAATCAGTAAATATGCAATTTTGCAAAGGCAACTGAAAAGTGGATTTTGAAGCTACCTTTAGCCTACTAAAAATATATCTAATTTCCACTGAGGCTGGTGGCAAAATACAGTATGATTTTATGGATCCCAGAGAGTACATTTAGATTTTTTCATTTTTGTTTTGAAAAATGAAATCCGTACTGGAGTAAAAATTTATGACCAGTACTACCATTTTGGAGGAAAGGGTTTATTTCTAAGTTTGGGTGGATGCTGACCTCTAGACATTTCATTTTTTTATTAAGCAGTCTATAAGTCTTAGCATACTGTGATGGAAAGAATATGCAAATTAGGTAACTTTATTATGGAAATATATAGAATATACGAAATATGCAGAAAGGAGTGAAATATACCAGTAATATCAAACATTAAGTTATTAAATGCTGGTATACGGAAAATATATAATTCATTACCACCAAACACCAACATCTTTTCCTTCTCTACTGGAGAAGTAAGTTTTCATTTAATCAATGTTAAAAGTTGTGGATTACTGCAAATTAATTACTTGACTAATTTATGTTTCAGCAAAGGTAAGAATTGCATGTTTTATTTATTATACCATAGACATGAAAGCTAAAGTAATGGACCAAATCAAAATGAAGAAGCAGATTTGAGAAGGATCACAATGCTATCATACCATCCTACTAAATTGAAGAAGGATCAGTACATGTAGACAGGTTCACAATGGTTTTTTTCCTAACAAATGTGTAATTTCTGCAGACCATCACTCCCATTCTTCCAATACAACTTCTGTTTAAATCTGCCCAGTGAAGATTTTCTTTTGAATCCCTACTACAAATTAAGTCAGTAGCTGCCTGTCTTGTCCTCCATGGATCTGGGGAACAACTGATAACCCCTCTGGATGTAGCAGTTTTGAAGACTCTTATCAAGTTCCCTTCTCCCACACCATGAGTCTTCTTCTTTCCAGACTAAACAAACCCAGTTATTTCACAGTTTCCTTGCAGGTCCTATCTTTTATACCTCTTATCAGCCCTGCTGCTGCCCTTCAGACTCCCTTTGCTTTGTCTACATCTTTGCTAAATGCAGTGACCAAAACTGCACTCATCAGTGTGAAGTAGAGTAATTTTTGTTAGGAGTCAGGAGTTATCTCCTGTTCCTGACATGGACATTTCCATAAATTTATCTGAAACATTTACACTGTTCATTTCTTGGTCTGCAAGGTAAATCCAGTTCTAACTCCAGTTCTGTGATGTTGCTGCACAATTTTCTTCCTTTTTTTATTTGACTATTTCATTTTCTCTCCTTCTCTCCTTTCTCTTAATACACAGACTTTGCAGTTCTCCTTGTTGAATTTAAATTTATTAATTTCAGAACACTTTTCAATTAAGTGAAATTATTTTGAGCTCTGACCTTATCGTTCAAAAATTTTGAAATTACTCTCAGCTGACTCTCATGTTCAAATGTGGAAATTCTATTCCATCATCCAAACTGCTGCTGAAAAATGTATAATAGAAATAGATTCCAGACAGACATTTTGTAATCACACTAGAGAAGTCTTTCCAGTTTAACAGCAAAACAGTATTCTTAAATTATTTTCCACCCACTAAGAATGCATTAAATTAATCTACACCTTAATTCCACAGTTTAATGAATTTGAAATGGGACAATGTCAAGTCAAGTTGTAACAGATGCACTTCCTCACATCCATAAAACAGACATTCCATCAAAGAAGGAATTTGGATCAGACTAAAATCTACTTTAGTCCTTAAAAATCTACTTTTTTTCATTAAATCCACATCTCTATCCTTCCAATGCATTTAAACTGACTTCTACAGCATTTTAGTTAATTTGGAAGCTTTTTGGTTCCCATATTATTGACTTCTGTACTTTTTAAAACCCTGTTTACCTCTTTGCAAAGAGCAGCCTCATATTTGCTGATCCACCATGCTCTGACCCACTTGGACATTATCAGCCTTGAAGGGCTCTTGAAAAGACTCAGTAATGCTGCAGTTAGCAAGGCAGAGAAAGTCTCTATTATGTGAATAACATCGAAGACACAAGTCTGGAGTATTGAACAGTGATAACAGGGACCTGCCTTTGCTTGGTAGCACTTTCCCAACCAAATACTCAGGTCAGCTTAAGGATGGAAATTTCCAGGGTGTATGATTACTAGCAAATGCTTTGGATGCAGATTCCCCGTTTTGAAGGCAAAGATAATTTTTAGTGGAGACCTGGGTTGTTTCATAGCCTGTGGCATCAGTACCCAAGAAAGCTCCTATAAGGTTGTAACTGTTATTACAACCATAGCCTTGGAACTGAGGAACTTACATTTCCCTTAAATTTGTCTAGAATAATCAGCCACACATTTGAAATTATCTAGCTTGGATAAATATCCTTTAACTTGTTCTTCTTGAATTAAGAACAGTGTTTCTTCCTCCACACTAAACTGTTGAACTTGTAACTGTAATGTGTTTATTTACCTCCCTTTCAGTCAGCTACAGAATATATACACATATTGTACTTTTCACCTAAATTTCATACTAATTTTAAGACCTGTAGGATAAAAAAAAAAGATAAAAAGAAAAAAAAAAGAAAAAACAAAGAAAAAACTCTTTGTATTACTTGCACAATTCAGAATCAGGCCTACAGTAAATTATCTTATACCTTTTACCTTCCAATATGATGTCAGGCAGGATATGAAGGGAAGACTCACCAAATACAACATGTAACACCAGAGGGGAAGCTGTACTATGGATAAAAAGTGATTTCCCCTCTGTGTTTCATCAACAAGGGTCATTTCAGTGCCACTTGCTCAGTTCTAGGAATCATCCGACCTCTCCTGCAAAGAATATTCTTAATTCCAAAAGGGTTTTTCAATGCTGCTCAAATTAGTACCAGAGCGTCTTTAGAAATTTTAATTAAATTACTACTATAACATGTCTAGTAACTTATAGATAGAAAATGGAAAAGTTTAAATGTTTGGTAATTTGCAATCAAACAGAAATCTCAGCCCTGCTAAAAGCACTTTGTCAGCATCTGAAAACACAAATTAATTGACTGGTCTAGAATTGTCAATGAAAACTGTGGAACAGGCAAAGAGAAGACCCAATTTCCTCAGAAACACTGAGTTGAAATGTTTCCCTTCCACTTTTCACCTTCTCCAAATGATGACAGAGTTCCAGGTAACCTATCTCAGGCCTTCATAAATTCTAAAGATAAAGGCCTACAAAAAACTGGAATGGTAATTTCACAATACTTTAACACAAAGCAGCTGAGTTAAATTTAGGCCGGCTATTTTCTGGTCTTTCAGTGATTGATTTGATTCTTCAGTAATGTTCTCTTCACACATCTGGGTTTTTTGAAGATTTTTGTAATGAGTCTGAATTCTCACCCATGCTCACCCATCAGTTCTATTTCCATGCTGATGTGAAGGGGGAGCTCTGTGAATAGCTGACCTAATATGTGGAAAAGCTTCACATTTCACAAGCTCTTATGCTTTCTGATATTTGATAATACAGTTTGTCAGTTTCTCACTTTTTATCCAACCTGGGATCCGATCAGAGAATGCAGACAGACTCCCTCTGAGGAAAGAGACTCCACAGTTCTGTTTAGGTCATGGGAACCTTTCAACTGACTTTAATGGAGAGTGAATCAGATTTTAGAAAGATGCCAAAAGTTAGGTTTTCTCTGTATTTTTGAGGGCTTCAGACCACTGTTCAGACAAAAGGAAACACGCTAATGTGTACAAGGAATTGTTACATCGGGTTTAGTCTGCCAGGTTGATGTCTGCATGTCTGTAGGAGTTCTTGACCTCCTCATGCATTGCAAGAGAGATTCCACGGCTCAGAGCTAAGGTAACTAAAATCTTTTGAAGTAAGCTTTAAACATGCATAGTGCACAAATAATCTGGTGGTTTTGTTTCTTGCTAGGGGAAATTTTCAGTGTATTTATAATGTCCTTTGATGCACCCTGTAAGGTTGCAAACAAGAGGCCACATGTCCTTTCGATGAAACTTCACTTATAAATATATGTAAAATGAGCTGCTGGAAGAGTTTGGAAGAGTTTGAAATAAATAAACAGAAAGAGTTACCCTACATCACCAAAATACAGCTTAGCTAGATTTTAAAGGCTCAACAATAGAAGCTCTTGCTCCCACAAGTTACAAAGGATTGTTAAATAGCTCTTTTTAACTACTTATGCTATGAACACCATGTCTGAACTTGAGATGAAGAAAAACACAGCCTTATGTGTTGCAACTCTTTTTAAATAAGCCCCCACAAACCATGCATGTGAGAATTAAACAGACACAATTAGGAGTTACATTTCTTTCCCCTGCACAAAATTTCACTCAGTTCTAGAGCTGAACTCAAGCAAAATCTAATGTGTGGATGTGAATTATTCAGACAAGTGATTTTATCCTAAATAATAGAAAAGGAGTGGAAAGGACTACCTCAAGACTTTCTGTATTAGATGGAAGCAAATCTAGAGAGGCAACTTATCTTGAAAAGGTATTGATGGAAATGAGAAGTAGGTTTCATAAAATGGTCTATGTACAACATGATAAAGTCTGGAATTCTGGATATCTTGTTGGTCACCATTCATAATGAGAGGACAGAAGTCTTGGCTGACTTGATGCACTAGTATTTCGAGACAAAGCCCTACTCCTGTCTTTGATAACTCAAACACATATTTTAGGTTAAAAGCCACGCTGTGGTCATCTCAAGCAAGAGACAGAAATGAGACTGAGAATTACCTTACAGCATAAGAGAAGAAGGGAACTTGTACACATCTGCAACAATATTCATGTCTGCAGTTTCCCCTATATTTGGCACTGAAGACTGCCTGCTATTGCTCTGAAAGAGGCAGTGATACACTGCACTGGAAGAGTATTTTAACTGCTCTGAAATACACTAGGTAGAATATATTAGCAGCAGCGGTTAAATAGCCCTTCTGTGGAAGTACGCAGGACATCACTAACAGCACTGTGAATGGCTTTGCAATGGCACAAAACATAAAACATAGGCAGTTTTGTAAAAATCTATCGGAATTTCACAAACATATTTACAAATTTTGGTTTTCTGCAGACTTCTTCCAGCTTATCCAAATCCAGAGGAGTTAATGTTCATGCATGAAAAAAAACCCAAATATTTTAAACTATAGTTTCATTCCAGCTGATAGGGTAGTGACAGTCTTTACAAAGATGAAAACATCTTGCAGAAATAACATCATAGACTAGTGTACACTGTATTCCTTGGTAGGATCTCCAGAGTAGCAACAGACATGCTGCTCATCAGTGAACAAATTACCATTTTGATCAGCTTTTACAAACATTCATCTTTTGCTGCCCTGAACATTTGAATGAGACTCAGCAACCCTTTCATCTAAATGAGCTGCTGTTGCACACAGTACCATTAGCTTATATAAACCTGCTGCTGTAAGCATCTATTACCACAGCCTGGTAGTGACATATTGATTTTCAAGCTGGAACTAGTTCCCTTGAGACTAGAGAGCATATGGCTGTTTCTTAGACCTGCTGGGTAAAACATGTTGATGGCTAGAAGTAAAAGGATGGAAAAAAAGTAGGTGTTAGTCTTTGCAATATTTTAAATTATTGATTTTAATTCTTAAAATAAGAATAATAATTCAGTCTTGCCTCTTTTTTTAAAACCAAATAAGCTTCAGAATTGGATCTTCCACTGTGTTTATTATGGGCAGACATTCAAGATCATTGGACTTACAATCAATAGTGATATCAAGTTGAAATTATTAGATTTTGAGGTAAAACAAAGTATTGAAAAGCAGGACCAGAGAGTATTGGTATATATGTAACTGGGATCATAACCAAACACCTGTTGTACAGAGCCTGGCCAGACAGCTGGACAGCCATGCAATCTAGAAGAGTCTTCCTGTGAAATGTTTAATGGGCTTTATATTAGAACACAAAGAAAGCTGGTTTAGCTCACACCAAAAGTCTGTGCTGTGTCTACCCCAAAATAGCTACAAGGGCAGAATATAACAGAAATTATTTTTCAAATGAGATTACATCTTTTCCCCACACAAAATACCTCCACACGTGAATTAGCTCAGCACTTAGTGTACTAAATTTCTATATTTAGCAATATAAAAAGTCATATTTATTGAAATTTTTTGGTCTGGACTTACAAATTATATTAAGTGGAAAAGTTAAATATTTCAAAATATTCCAGCTAAGGCACCCATAAAAGAAGTGCAGAGCAGGAAGAGGCCCAACAGAAGAGCAGCACACCCTAAGCCCTTCATAGGTGCTAAACATGCATGGGAGGAGGGTGGGTGTTCACAGAGGGGAGGCAAAACCCTGCTGTGAGAAGACAGCAGGCACTGTGCTGCTCCTCAAAACCCTGCCCTCCCCACAAATCTCTTCAAAATACTGCTGTAATAACAAATCATGAGACAATTATGTTTCTGGACTGTTACATGAATGTTAAATCCCCTGACAAGCCAATGAGTCCCTCGTGGGAAATAGTTAGGAGCATTACAGAAAGAAAAGGTGGAACATTTGATGCAACAGGAAATTTTTATTCATTTTTAACATAATTTAACAGTTATTCCTTCAATTGAAGCTGAAAAATGGCCCAATGAGGTTAACTAAATTAGACTCCATGAAAGAAAATCCAAAGTTTTTCATTACTTCTTTTCTAGGGGACAGAAATGAAATAAAATAGTTCTTTCTCACTTTAATTCAGCTTAGTACTTTCTTGACTGGTCTGCTCATTCTGGAGCAGAATCCACTTCTGTTTTGCTCCTGACATCACTCCCACTCTTCTCCAACCTCCGTCTCCCTCTGCTGCTGATCACAGCCTGCCACTGCAGCACGAGCACCAGTGGTGCTAAAGCTTGCTCAGCCCACGGTATTCCAGGACCTATTCCTGGAATAATTATATTCTTAAAAGCTGCTCTTTATTAGGAACCTGAAAACATATTTAAATCATTTTTTTAAATGCTGAGAGTTTCTATGGAGCATATTGCAGCCCATGAAGAAACTGAAACAAACCAACCTGCAGCTGAAAGCTTTATCCTTTATTGAGTTGAGGACTGTCAAACTAAGTTTTATTAACCTTGTCAGGCCAGAGGGTTAGTAAGCAAGCATCAAGTGCTCCATTCTCCTGAACTTTTCCTAAATACTTCTGGCATATCTTTAATCGTAAAGTTCAGAGACTTCCAAAAATACACGGCTGAGCCACAGCTGCCCGCTGGCAGCGGCATCTCTGCCCGGGAAGGCTGCTCTGCTCCCTGCAGCGTGCAGGGGACAGCCGTGACCCTGGACAGGCTCGCAGGGCAGCTCTGTCATCCGGGCAAAAAGTCAAAAGAGCTCAAGCTTGGCATGGGCAGCAGCCCTGCAGAGCAGAGCTGGAATCCTGTCCTGCCGTGGCAGCCGGTGGGAAGCCGTGCCTGGAGATGGGGAGGTGGGGCAGGGATGGCCATATGTACCCACACACTGATCACCCCAAGAAAATCCAATTCTCTGTTCACACATGGGTGAGCCATAAAGTGTGAGAAGCACAGGATCAAACTAGGCTCAGGAAGAATGATCATTAGAGTTGCTGCAGCATTACCACACAAAACTTTGCGTTTAACTGTGTAAAGTAGCAGAGATGAGCAGGAGGGAAAATGACATAAAATATAACCGAAGATTAGAAGGACTGCTTTCTCTGATTTTCAGTTCTGATGCTTAATACACATGGAAAAGTGATAGCAGAATCTTATTTTCCTACCAGACTTACAGATTTTGATGCTATTTCTGTAGTTTACTCAGTGGCTCTCATACACAGAACCTCCTGAAATGGTTACTACTGCACAACATTCTCATCCAGGTTTTTTGGCTTTATGAAAAACCTCTTCAAAACAGATAATGAAAAAATGCTTTAAAATCCAAGGACAAATTCTAATGATGCCAGTGAAAATATAAGCCTTTTGGATTTTATTTAATATTTTTTCTCATGCTGCCTTTATTTTTTTTTATATACCTTCAAGGAAGTGATAAAGCTAATGGGCGCAAAAGGTATTGCCTACATTCATTACATTCATTTACTCCACTTAAAGAACCATAGCATCAAATTATTTAAACGCCGTTAATTGAACACGATTCCCTCTTGCATACCTAAACAGGTCTGCACCTTAAATCTGTCTGCTTCCTGGCACAAAGACACTTATCCATAAAGAAAGCAAGAGAACAAACAAGAAATTCTTCTTATTTTGCATATATCATATATTACAATCCTTTGAAGTCTATGCAAGTTAAAACTGCCTTCAGGTATCTTATGCACCTGAAAAAAAACCAAACAAACAACAAATCACCCAGCCCATACAAGTCTAACTTATTTTGTTTGTTATATTTGCCTGGGTCTCATTTTGTATGGACACAATTGCTATAAAAATAGTATCTTACAAATTACAAGCTTTTCCAGAGCATCATGATGAGTTTTTCTTGTTTTCCATTGTTCTTTAACAAAAGCCTAGTCGTGCCCCCTAAACACTTGTTTCTCTACAACCCTTTTATGCTCCATCCCAAGAAATTGGATCAGCTAAACTTTTTCTTCTTAAACTGAAAATTCCTCAATTTCTGTTACACAGTAAACAACAGGCATAAGGAGATGATTTTACATGCATATTGCACAACAGCAGTAAAGACTCTAGTGCTGAAATACATTTTCATCTCCTTTCAGGGCATGCTGAGGCTGCTTTCTGCAGAGTATGTCTTGATGCTGAGAGAGGGCCAAGCGGGCAGCAGACTGCAAAGCTGTGTAATAAGGTCTGCTGGCACCTGTGACAATTGTCTGAGTAAACAATGCTGCACCAAGCCTGAGGCTGACACAGAACTTCAGACCTAAACATCCTTCTTGGTTAAGTGTGAGGCTCTTCAGAGCACAAGTTTATGCAACTCAAAATCTTACTTTCAAATGAAGCCTTCTGCAGGAGAGATGCACCTATTAAAGTGTTTAGCATTGGCAGCCTTCTATGAACAAATCTGCTAAAATCTGCTTACACTGCAATATTCCAACACCAGTAAAATACTGACTATATCAGCCACGTAGCTAGACACACTAACAGGTCTAGTTTCTAAATCACGAAGTTTCTATTCCAATATTGCTACATTATGTCTGGATCTCTCTGTAAGCAGCAGATTGCTCTAAGTGCTGCAAGGGGAAGTAGGGAGACAGATTCCTGAGTAAGGAGCCTAATGAAAAATTGCCACCTGCTCTTACCAGCAATCCAACTCCACATGGGCCCTCCTCAGCACCTGACAGGGCAATCCTGTCTCAGGTAACAATAAGGAAATTTTCTGAGTGATCTTCAGGTATCATTTCCTTTCATAGGTAATACTTTAGATTTCGATCTCCAGTCAAGCTGACTGGAAAAATATAGGATAAATTAGTCTGAAAAGTTCTGGAAAAACATACTCTTTAATTCATGCTGCTGTTCTACTGCATACATGTCCTTCAGAAGACAAGAACAGACTTGTGCCTGAATAAATTAAAAAGTTGAGAGTGCAGCCCTGTGCATCTGTGCAGCTGGTGAGTCAACAGCAAAATGACAAGTTTCAGGAAACAGCATCCACATAAGCATGTAAATAGAGTTGTCCAAAGTCTTGGCTCCATTACTTCACTAATTCTGTTTCACTGCTGATATGTGAGTGAGCTTATGCACTTGGCTCACTGTACCTAACCATTTCAAATCTAATCCCTTAATAAACAATTAGGAAGGTGATGCATATTCACCAACTTCAAGGGAGTCAGTCTGGATTTGCACACATTAAATTACCATTAGAACAATGGAAGTGTATGCACCTGCAAGAAATAACTTAAAAATGCTGTATTCATCATCACTTTGAACGTTACCTGGAAGAATCTCATTACAGAACAGCCCTTTACCACCCTGAGTTTATCCATGGAATAATGAACTTTCTCTCCGAGTTTTTCAGTATTATTAATATGAAGTACAACTGGTTTGGAACACTTTAAGTATTCAAGAGACTAAAGAGACTGAATGATGAAGGAGCATAAAGAAATCATGAACAAGCAAACAAACAAACCAAGCATGGCCATCAAGGTAAAAAAAAATATTGTAAAGCAACACAGAAGTAGTTTCTGTGTGAGTACTCTGTATTCAAACTGGATCGGATTAGTATGGTGCACAAAAGTATAATTCAGTGTTACAAAAAGTTACAAAATAGAAAACAAAGGCTCACAGTTAGAAAAGAATTCTTCCTAAAATAACAGCTCAGAAGAAAGTTTCTGTGCTTAAGGCATTCATTACTGAACAAGAGAAAGCACTACAAAAATGTGCTGGAGCAAAAACTTTTTCAATACAATGAGGTGGATTAGAGGGTCAAGATTTCTAATATTTCTGGTTTTCACATTTCTTACACTTAAAATACATCTTTTCATCATGACTGGATTTAAATATTGATTTGGTCTATTTCTTAAGTCAGGGGTCTCACAGTGACCTTTTGTGCCTGTGTGTATGTCTACACACGTAGATAAAGGGACAGAATATTGTGTGTACATGTGTACATTAGGAAAATAGAGAGATTTAGATACCTTCCTTACCTGAGGCAGAAAATATAAAGTATTCTGAATTCACAAATATCTTGAATAGATAGCTATACTGTTGCTTGAGGGAATGAGACATAAAAGCTCCAAGAAACAAGCAAAGTTAATGAAACAAAGCCAAATTCTCTGCTGCTGTAATTTCATTAAAGGTAAATGCAGCTGCCCCCACATACACAGCTAAGAAGCCTACTTGAATGACGAAGAGAAAAAAGGGAGTCAGTCCAAATGTGTGGTTTCAAACTGTATTTTTCACTGTCAGCACAAATTCTAATTGCAACACAAGGCAATTTCTATTCATTACACACTTCAGCATTGGGTTCTAAGTACAAATTACTCTGCTTTTCATGGGTTTTAAATTAGTATCACCAGAATTGTTCTGATACATATATTGACTACAATGTAGGTCTTATTTTGAAGAAATGTATCATTTTTACTATGACTCATTTTATTGCTATTTTCCTTAACTTCCGTAAAAATAATTCAGAAAACTTAATTCACAGTTTTCATCATTTTATAGTCGCTTTCAGTGCAGTAGTTTCCTTCAAGTCATAAAGTAAATTGTTCTTACAAAGTACCAAATGACAATTTAATTACCCTTATAAAGTTTTAAAGGAGTTATTCATCAGGGCTGAAATCCATTCCAGGACACAGGCACCCCTGTATGTACGTATGCAGCTTTTGGGGATCCCTAGCAATAGAACTGACAGATTTGTTCACTCACAATAGCAAGAACTTAAAACCTGCATGCACAGGAGTACCTTCTGTGCACTCAGTTATGGAATCTGTGAGCCAGCCTAAAGCTAGGACAAAGTGTTACCAATCTTTCAAAATTATATTTTTTCCCAACACTCACCTTTGGAGATGGAGAACAACTGATCTAAGAGATCTAATCTGTGCAGAAGACAATCAAAGAGAAGAAGAAAGGAACAGTGGTAGGCCACAGCTCCAGTCTTCCACCACCCAGATGATGCCCTTAAAGGACAATTTCTCTGTTTTACAGAGCTAACAGTTACTATAAAATAAAGTAGCAATTTTGAAAACAAGACATTACACTTACAACTCAGATCTAATCTGAGCCCCTTAAGCTTCTCAGCCAAATTCAGGTCATTCTGCATTATTTTTTTGTGTATCATGGCAGAGGCTAAAGAGAGGGTTGAAAAGTGAATATTAATTAACTTACCTTATGTCTCCTACGTACAACATTACTTAAGAAACATGGGGTGGAATTGGAATTTCCAACTTTTTGCTTCCAAATTAATATGGAAATTAAAACTTTTTTTCTCTCTCTCTCTTTATTATATACAATGCAGAAAAGAAAGTGTCTGTAAATGAATGTAAACTATGCAAACATTTCTCTTCAGGCAATGTTCCTCTGTGCAGATTCCAGGCTAATAGTTGTACCTCCCTGCAGGCCTGAATAAGACAATTAAATACCAAGGTTTGTGTCCTATTCCTGTCCTCAAAGATTCTCCCCTAGATACTTCCAGGTAATGTTTAAAGAAGCCTGATGATTTTTGGAGCATTTATGTATTTGACAGGGTTACTTCAGCTCCTAGTCTGAAGTGCCTAACTCTCAAGAACAAGCATAGACACAAAGACACAGAGGCTTTGCATTCCAGCCCAGGAGACAGTCTCACAATGTTTTTGCCAGGCATCTCAGCACAACATTCTGTATTAGCCCTCACTTTGTAATATTGTTTGTATGCACATTGTGCATTCCAGTGTATAACATTTAACAGGTAGATTGCCTGTTGAAGTTCATCCAATATATATTAGTAAAGTTTTCAGATAATGATGTCAGAGACCTTTGTATGGGATTGTTCCACTGCACATTAACCATTACACAGTTTGCTACTGAATGAGAAGAACTTAAATTCTCAAGTCACAGCCCATCAGTTACCACAGGTATCTGTCACTCACCTGCAATGATCCATCTTTCATCCTGGAACAAGGCCTGGGAATGTGTAAGTATGTAAATACGAGGATGCTTGGCAGAGAATTTGATGTTGCTACAGAAAGCTAATGAAATCTATTCAGACATAAAATGCATTCATTCTTGTTGATTTTAAGCTGAGCTACTAGTGCATCTACCTAAGAATACTTTGAACACATATTCTAGTTCCTGTTATTATTTCTTGCTCTAAGGGAAATACTTTATGGGCTTTTTTTTTTTTTTTTTTTTTTCATTTCCTCATGCAGTGTGTGGAGAGAGTCCAATAGACTTCAATGAGAGATGAAGCTGGCATTTTTTTTTTTTTTTTTTTTTTTAATTTAATGAGAGATATGTGTGCTTCCAGTGAGTGCTTAAATCTATTAGAACAGCCATGGTATGTGTCTATTAGGCTTATACAGTATGTAAACCAGACTATGAAAAGGGATGGTATTCCTACCCAGTAGTTAAAGGCACAAAAGAGCCATGGGAACCTTGCTCTGGCCTTTATTTTTGGCTTAGTAAAACAAACTCTAATTCTTTATTTGTCAAATTACTATCTGTTACAGTTTGAACTTTCCTCAAGCCTTACTCTCTTAATGAAGTTTAATCTGCCTCTGGCTTGAAGCAAAAGAGCATTGTGTGTTCATGTGTAGGCAGTGTGAATGCAGTTTTGCAGAAAAGGAAGTCTCCTGAATGTTGGGGGCTAAAATCAATGGAAAATGGAAACCAGCCTATTGCCCTTGTTTTTCCAGCTGTCAAATTTTACTCTTATAAAGCAGACAGTATTTCTTTACAACCTCATTAGTTTTTCCTAAGCAAACTGACAATACCATTCACTGTTCTGTGACTGGAATCTCCATAATTTATTCAATTCTTCTGTGAGAAATACTCTGAACACTTGTGTGCAGAAAAACGAACCTTTCAGCAATGTGTTCAGGGGCCCAAGCATAACTTCTACTTTATTTTACATTTTAACTTGGACAGAGAACTAGATACAGAAGGAAGGAAATGTGAATCAAATCGGAGGACACAGCAAGCACAAAAAATTTTAAGGGCAATGCATATTTTAGACTAGCAAAACAGTATGTAGTATCTTAAGGAGCTGGGAAATAAATAACAATAGGTTTTATAGAAAGAGAAGGACATTAAAGAAATTGGTTTTCCAAAATCCTTTTATATACTATTTTAAAAGCAGACAAATTGAGGATGGGGAGGGTCCTCTGTTACACAAGCCCATCTATGATTTCACATGTGAATTTTACGTTAGACTTGTGTGTGGACATCAGATCATGAGCTTTCTGACCCATGCTTTTGTCATGTGCAAATCTTCTCATATGTGGTGCACTGGTTAAGACTCAGCAGGTCAAGCTATGAATAGGCATCAATATCAGAGTAGTAAGAATAACTTTGCACCTATTGCAAGCTATGGATATTGACCATAATCCAACTCAACCTGGCAAAGCTGGAATTTGGGTTTTACTTTTTCCCTTCCACTAAAGGTTTGATAGGCTGGGAGAAATGGTCCTAATCTCATTCTGTTTCCAATGAATATTATTATTATTATTATTATTATTATTATTAAAAAAGGCAGCTTTAATCAGCTATGTATGAGACATATTTAACTGACTGCAGGAGAGACAGTAATGAATTATTGTTTCTCATCCACCCCCATGTTTTTCTCACTGACTAACATAAGCATTAGCACTGCTCTGATGAAAATGAGCGTATTCTGCTTTTGATTTCGCCTTTTCTTCTCAACTGTAGTGTAACATTCTCTCAATTAGGAAAATTAAATATTCTCAAATATGAAAATATTAACAGACTGTGCAAGACAGAACAACTACAGAGAAGGTTTGTTTCTTCAACCTTTGTCTGAACTTGTAAATTACTGATTTCTTTTTGTGGTAGTCTCTTGACATGCCTCATTTCAGTTGCTACTAGTTGTCATAAGATGGCAAAGTACACAAAAATCTTTAATTCTGCTTCTACCAGACAAACCTCATAAAAAAGCTTAGGTGCAGTTGGGTTGGATAGCGGCTAAAGAGAAAAGCAGGAAAAAACAAAACTGTAAACCAACGCAGTCTCTATAAATAAGACAAAGTGGCAATTACTGGTCTGGGCAGTGAGGAAGGAACAGTAGCAAACATGTGTCCTTTTCATCATTGGAGCAGCAAGGCCTGTCCCAAGACATGTAAATGTCACCTTGTTAATGCAAAACCACATCCATGGCCCTGAAACCTCTGAACTGGATCAACGCTGCTGCAGTTTGCACATATAAAGAAATACGTAAAAACATAGAAACTGATTTTAATCTATTATATTTTCATTCTAACATTCATTAGCAAATGGAACACTCTCTTACAATGAAAGACATCATTGAACACTATCGTGTATTGCTGCGTCCATAACTCCATACCCTCTTTTAGGGTGGAGAGTGATTAAATGTAGATTTCTAATTGAAATACTGCAACCACTGGAAAATGCGATCATGATCCAAAGTTTGGTAACATCACTGGACTTCAGAAAGGGTTTTTTTTGTCCCCAGAAATTTTGTTTTGCCAAAACCAAATGGAAGCATCTAAGACAGGGAAAGACTGCTGCAATACAAACAACATGCTGGGCATAAACTCTGTGGACCATTTTGAAATTAAAATGCATCTGACATGAATATGGATATTTTTTCTTTAAGTTTTGTGCCGAAAGGTTTTGTAACACACAGAAGTTCTGTAATATAATTTTACTTTGTGTGTAACATCCATAAAATTGAAGTTGGAATGAAAGATTAAAGAAACATCCTTCCCGTATCCTTTTTCTCCCTAAGAGTTTCCTTTGGTTTTGGCATTTCGTCTTGCTTCTGTCTGACGGCCCATTCTGCCTAGACTACTCAGGTTATGCTGGAGGAGCAGTTACCAGTTGTTTCAACCTTCACTTAACACTAAAAATAAAAAAAACCAAACACCACCACCACCTCTCTCACCACCCCCCCCCCCCAAAAAAAAAATCGTAATAGAAAAGCTTGCAAGACATATTCCTGTATTTTAGGCCAGCAACACATATCACTATACAGCCAAATCCACACCAGGAGACTATGCTATCTTGCCTAGGCTTAGTTACTAGGGTACAATTCCTCTTGGGTGGGATATGCACATGGAAGCAAAAAATCTTAATCCTGTTAAGGACTATGGCCTACAAGCAGAGCAGCACTAAACCTGTTATTTCCTTTACCTTGCTTTCAGCCTCTTTTTTCGCATACAGGAGGAGACAAGGCAAAGGAGGTGTGGCAGCTGGGCAAACAGAGACAGCATATTTTACAATGAACTGTGACCCCCAAATCCTAATCAGTATTTATGGAAAAGAACAATCTTGTTGGTACTTTCTATCAATAAAAAAATCATCAAAGGATTTTTTTCCCCAACATAATTTAGAAAGAAAATACTTTTATTCATTCTTAAAAATAAAAATATCCTCAGCTCATCTAGCCTTTTTATCATTGGCATTTATTATAGCAGATAACAGCTGCCGAGAGCCTTCAATCACAGAGCTTTTGAAGGCTGATGGAAGCATCAAGTTAATATCTTCAATAGCTCTGGGATCTGAACCCATATCCTCAGGATTAAGGCAGATCAAATGAAAATGAATATCCCTTTACAGACAAAATCCACCTACTCCTTACTACATAGGGAATGAATTTGTCTGCAGAGAGTCTAAAGAAGGGAACTGAGATCTATTCTATTTTATTCTTCATATACAAGAGATTTTGGTATTGCCAAATGACACGATGTTTTGGCTTCCCCCAGTGACAAGAATTAATGCCCAAAATGTAAATTAATAGAGAACCAGTAAACAGGCTTTTTCTTTTAAACTGTATATAGAAATTGATTTATGGGAAGGAATCAAAGGGTAGCCTAAGAAAGTTATAGAGAAGTTCCTCTAAAAACAGAAGGTGATTTCCTCATAATATCAAACTCAGCTTCAAGAAGCTCAACAGCTGCCATGGGCACTTAAAACACTTACATTTGTTCACATTCTCTGGAAAAAGAGCCCTCAATAGTTGACTCTAAAGATACCAAGGCCAACAAAAACCTCCTTTTTCTTCCACAAATGGACACTAAAACAGCTTAATAGTAACTATATACAAAGAGAGATACATGGTTCTTACACAGTTTTAAAGTGGCTGCCTTATGAATTATTGTAACAGAAACAGAGTCAAACTCTGTTCATTTTATCTGCAGAGAAGAACCTGGAGGGGGTGAAGAGATGGTGGAAAGATACTGAAGCGAGCAACTCACCATTAGAATGACAGGATCACTTTCCAAGACTAAAAATAAGCCAAAGAAAAGATGCAAGTTTCTGGACCACATGGCTTCCATGGAGAGATAACTGAACTTAATTTTTTCAGTTTTAAAAGGCAAATGAAAAGAGGAAGTCCTAGAATCAACCATAAAATGGTTTGGGTTGGAAAGGACCTTAAAGACCATCTAATTTCAACTCCTCTGCCGTAGGCAGGGACACATTACACTAAATCAGGTTGTTCAAAGCCTCATCTAATCTGGCCTGGAACACCTTCAGGGATGGGGAATTCTCTTCTTACTTATGTGTAAAATGACCTGCTGGAACACTACTGGAACATTGATATTAAAGGGCTGGATTTCCACCACTGCAGTTATTAAAGACTTAAGTGGACTTGTCTCAAAGCAACCTCATCTAATCAGACCTGCTTTGAACATGATTTTGGCTAGAGGTTCCTTCCAAGCCACAAGATTCCATGACTCTATGGCACACAGGAACAATAGAGGGACTTTAATATGTAATGCCAGTCAGAGACCAGTACAGGCTTGCAAAGAGGCTAAAGAAATCTTTCCTCAGTCTGTACAGACTAATAATCAATACAATTCTAATGAATTTGTCAAGTATTCAAAATATTACAGTGTAAACCGCAGACTGAAAAAGCTTAAGCTCAGAAGTATGTAGCACGTTACTAATTCTTTTTCTGTGCTAATTATGTATGTGTGTGCACACACCACTGAAGAGGAGAGCTTGAGTATGCAAATTCAGACACTCAAATGAAAGAAAATATAATAGCTTGGACAAATTTAGGATGCTATGCATTCAAAACAGGATGTGGCCAGGTAATTTAGAATTTTTTAACTGGACTTGCTGTTTTATTATATTTTAGCAAACATTTTTTGCTATACACCTGCAATAAATCAGATAACAAAATTTGCCAAGAAGTAGACACGTATACCTCCCCAAACACAGCATGTAGAAGTCTGCTTTATCTCTTCTATGTAACATTGCACACACAGCTACAAACTTTAAGAATAAACTAAAACCCGAACAAGATCTAGTATCTGTTCTGAGACCAAACATTCTGTGAAATATGGTCAGAAGTGCTACTTATATAATTTAACCTTTATTCTGATTTGGAGATAAAAGAGTTCAATAGAATTTAAAAAATGAATAAATAAAACTATTATAGAATTTATTTAAACCTGTAAATTTAGCTACATACTTCATGCTCCATCATAATGTACTGATTTAATCATTGTATTATGAACGAGCTCAGTTTAAAAAGAAGGCAATCTCTTTCTCTTAAACAAGAGAAAAAAGGAGATTATGTACAGAAAATACACAATCATATGACATTGTCCTCATATAATTCCATGTAATGCTGCATATCTAGGATTTTTGCCATTCCTTAGAAAAGGAATTGTTATATTTTACTATTCAACCAAATCAGACAGACTTATGGTTTTCCTTTCTACACAAGGGAAATCTATTCTATTTCTTACTGTAAGAAAACAATTTACACAACATGCAATATTTCAGTCTTGGACACACACTTCAGGCACAATAATCTGCAGAAGGCACCTAAATAAAAATTCCTGGTGCTGAGTGTTTATAGCTTTCACTGTGGAGAAAGGCATCCAGGATTCCAGGTCATTTGGGTCAAATTTCTGACCTTTTCAAGAGAAGCTAACTTTCTTCTTCAGAACTACTTTAATAGATAAGCTGTACTGGAAACACCGCCAAAATAGACATCAACATCTTAACACTCACACCTGTTGATCTCTGATAAAATCAGAATAGCAAAAAACATGCAGGTTGGAAAAGACATCTGAAGGTTGTGTCAGCCAAAATCCTGCTCAAAACAGGGCTACCCACTGAGGTGAGCTGGGTTTGCAGAGGACCTCATCTCACTGAGCTTCAAATACCTGGAGCAGTCATGAGTCTGTTGCCTCCTTGTATAACCTGTTTCAATGTCTCAGTATGCTTATAATGAAAAAGAAAACCACTAAAAAGAACAAAAAACGAACAAACAAAAAAAAAGAAAAAAAAAGAAAACAAAAAGAAAAAATCCCTATCATCTAAACAGATGTCACTGTGTACTGCTGAGAAGAGTCTGAACCTCCTCATCAGACTGTCACCTAAAGAAATTCTGTTTACCACGTGCTCCAGCACTCACAGCAGCCTTGTGGCCCCTATTTCTCCAGAACCTCTTATGCTGGGAGGGTCCAAAACTGAACACTCTCTTTTCCTTTCATCTCCACAAACCAAAACAAATAAATTGTCATGACTGTAGAAAACTTTAACACATAAATGACACAGCAGACCAGAACTATGCGCTGTTCCTATGTGAAAAAAAAAGTATTTTGCCTCCTAAATGAGCCTAAAGAGAACACTCGTGTACTTTCTTCAACATAAGATCTGACAGCAGATTTGAAGTCAGCTCCAAAGGAACTGGAGATTACCTCTGGAGCAGACATTAAGGCTGAATGCTCTCATACTACATGAGCTGGGATGCAGTGTTTTGTGCCTGTGAGTAACCTCTAAAAGCCCCTTTCACCTCCTGGTGCTTCCTATGTCACCCCCTCACTCTCCACTGATAAATATTTGCTTTCTTTAAGGGCCTTTTAGAAAAAAAATTGTCCCACAATCTGCTAGTCCTCTCTAACACATTACCACATAGAATTTATACCAATCAGCTATGAGTTAGACCTATTTTGAGCAAAAACCCATTTAAAGCTGCTCAGCAAACAGGTTGGAACTATCACAGACACAGTGCTGGAAAAATAAGCAAAGGGAACAGTAAACAGTGAGTGGCCACCTTGTTTATTCAGAGTGCTGTGGTTTATTGATGTTACACACAATCTCAAGTTTAGCTGATCTTAGACTTTACATGTTTTCTCTCACATCCAACCCAATCTGAAAGTGATTCTCTAGCTGGCTAGGGAAGTTTTCAATAGCTATAAGCTAGCCATAAACTCCTCCCCATGCCATTGTCCCCCTGTGCAAAAGAAAATAACCTTAAAGCAAAAGTCTGTCACAGTCACCACACAGAGTGAAAAGAATAAACTCAGCTGCTTGCCTCTTGGAAAACTCCAGGCAGAATTCTTTCACCTCTTTAAGAACAAGATAAGAGAGGAAGTGAGCCTTCAAGGAGAAGGACAGGCTGCCTCATAAGCAGCATTCAATGCTTGACCCCAATATGAATACTAATACCAAAATACCAGTACCCATAAAAATGCACTGGATATAAGCACAAATATAGTAATAATAATAATATTAATAGTATGGAGAGGGATCTCATCACTGGACTGCAGTGCTGCATGTAACTGGAATGTTTCCATGAAGGAAAGTTCTTTGGCAATGACACTCTGAGAATCTGGAATAAAAAATATATTTTTTTATTTTTTAATAGCAAATGGAAATTAAGTCATCATTTGAAGAAGATTCCTGTATCTGGGAAAAAAAAAAATCCAACTCAAGAAAGATTGGCTGGTTGGATTTTCTTAATTAATTCTATGAGATTGTCTCCCTCATCCAACACATCTCTGTAAATTACCACAGTAGGCATGAAACATGCCCCTGTATTGATTCAGCTGGCACAGCCTTCCTCTATAAAAGCCTCCTCAGAGCCCCTGCATCAGGGTGGTCGTTCTGCTCTCCCCAGCTGCTGGGGAGATGCTGAATTCCTGTGCTTGCCCCTTCCCCCAGAGCCTAACTCATCTGGACTCTAATTATTCCAGGAGCAGATATACACAAAACCACAACAAGACTCATGTTCCTTCCCTTCAGTAAGCACCATGCTACTGCTCCATGAGCCCACGGCTCACCTTCTGGATGCTGGAGAGGATGAATTCATCAGCTAAAGAAGCATATACTGTGCAAGCTGATTCTCCCATATCTCAAAGGAAAGAATGTGATGTGTTAAAAAAAGTGTGTGGTTTGTTGGACCTGGATGGAGAGCCAAACTTTGCTGGCCAAGTTCATAAGTCTTCTCCTACCTCCACTTTCTGAGCACTGCTGGTGGTACACCTGACTGCATCTGAAAGCTTAAAATAATTTTTGCAATTTCATGCAGCTTAGCCTTTCAGTTGGTGTGAACTTAAGAACACATTTACCTGAGATCAGGAAATAGCAGAGAAGGAGCTTGACAAAAACATTAAATGGAATAAAAATTACTGACAAATGATTCTTTACCTACTTTGCTTTTCAAAATTTTGTCTACAAAAGTCTTACATTTGCAAGTATCCATAAGTATCCTACTGGAAAAATGAATGGCTGACACTCTTCTCATTTTAAAGGGAGTTACCAAAGCTGCAAAGATTACACGTTATTTAATAAGAGATAATGGCTTTACAGGCATATTAATTTTCATTTTTAATATCTGTGTATGCACTGTTTTAGTTCCCTAATGCAAACCACAATAAAACAACTCATGGGGGTTTTAAACTCTTTTGTCTTTGCTGTAGGTTGTCTTCTTTAGGGAAAAAAAATAATACAGTGCATTATTTTCAACAGTGGCAGGAAGTGGGTTTTTAGTCGAATCAGCTTAAAAAATTCCAGCTGTGTTCACGTTGAAGCCATCGCAAAGTCTAAGCCTGGGATCACTTCTCCATGCCAACTAAATCCTTTTCAGGCCCCAAGAAGTAAATTTTTGAAAAAATGCCAAGCCTCTCCTTGAATATAACATCTTAATTGGTTGATATTAAGAAAAAAAACAAAACAGAAAGTGCCATTCTGAAAATGCAAGTGCTCACATTTTTGTGTTCTAATTTGATATTTGCCTTGTAAGAGCACTCAACATACTCAAACAGAGACTGTCTCAGAAAACTGCAATGAGAGGCATGCAGGCTGGTTATTCCAGACAAGGAGGAGTTTCTAGGGGCTATAGACAGTACACATCACAACGTGTATCCTATGCCTTTGTAATGCACCAGAAAGGCTGCAAGGTGTGTGACAGTGTTGGAGCCAAGGAAAACCCAAATGTTTCATTGCCTGGCTGGCTATGGCTCAGTGGATATCTCAGAGGATAAGGAAAATCCACTCTCCTGAGACCAGTAGTTGTTTTAAAGGAGTTTCTGTATCAGTGTTAGGTTCAAACCAAGTAAAAGCTTGGGATCAACAAACAGAAAATGCAGGCTTCAAATTGATGTATCTATAACATTGTTTTAAATGCACATGTCTTTTTTCATTAAAAATAAATTATTGCAGGATTATGAATACATCTAATGTTACTATCTTCCCCTCTGTTTCCTGTTGCACTATCATTTGTGGTGTGCATATT